ATAAATTATTTATTTAAAAAAATATTCAAAAATCATTTATAAATAATTAATAATAAATTTTGTTTGAATAAAAATAAATTAAATCCGTTTATTAAAATATCTCGTCAAAAAATCTTTAATAATTTGGTGGATTATCAAAAAATGTTTCGATTGTTATCAGTAGGCCTGATGTTCTATACTTAGAAAAAAACGCCTAGCCTTGCTGAGGCTGCCAAATTTCCTTGACTTCATTCCCTCTCTCATTCCCCTTGCTCTCTCTGTCCTTCGTCAGCCTCCTTCTTTTTTGCCGCCCCAACTATCTTCCCTGGCCGCATTTTGCTCAGAGTGCCCATCTTGTCTCTTGTCTCACACAGCAACAAGCTATATTATGCCAGTTTTCTTCAGTCTGTAAGCTGCCACGACGAACGATGCTTGCGCATGCGCAATATATTCCAGAGAAGGGATTCTTTACAAAAATTGTGCATTTAACTGAAGAAGGAGCGTATTCTACCATTGAGATTTTAATATGATAACTTCGATCAGTTATCCGCCTGTTAAGAAATAGGGCAAGAAGACGTCATTATGTAGGGTGCTGCTTGATACACAATTCAGTACACAATCTGTCTACGTTACGTGTGTTAACGCATGTGCATATGCTCACCAGAGGGCTATTTTTGTTAGAATATGCATTTAATATGGTTAGGTGTAATCTTTGTATAGATTATTGCAATAAATTGTTATTCAGTAGGCCTGTGTTTTATACTTAGAAAAGCGCCCTAGCTTCTTTTTCTACCGCTATCACGCCGGAAACGGTGCTCGCGCATGCGCAATATCTCCGAGAAGAAAAATATTTTGCGAAAATTATGCATTTAAAATGGAGAGGAGGTATTCTAGCATAGATCTACATGATAACATTTTATCAGTATACCTCTGTTAAGAAATAGGAGAAGACCTTGCATGTAATGTGGTTGGACCATGCATTAATTACAACGAGTCGAACCCTTGCACAGTAATCAGCAAGTTCGTCTATAAAAATATCCCGATATAAAAAAATATGCAACCAGCAAAACTTTAATGAATAATTATAGCGTGCCATAATCATGCACGTCATACGAAGTTCAAACAGATGCAATAGCGGATCCAGGAATATCGGAAGGGCTAAAGCAAGTAGCGAATGAGCAAATCCACGGGCATCGTAGCATTGTAGTGCTTCTACGACAATTAACCGGCTTCTTTTAAAAAGTCACAAAATTTGAGAAACAATGATTAAAATAGCGGTCTAAATGCTCATAAATCCTACTTCCTGCAGATTTCTTCACTCGTTTTTTGCCATTGATTCCAAAACGGAGTCATGGTCACCCTAATGAACACAAACTTCTAGACACGCTAGTGTATAGAGTAATAGTCAATTGTGACCAGTACGTACGAGCATAATCATACGTGGTTGGTAGGTGGACGGCTCTGACGGGAAGGTTTTCGTTCAACAACGACACGATCCATCCGTGCTCTCTGATGCTGTTGCTAGAGAACCATGGAATGCCTCTTTCTTCGAATGTTTACGCAAATCTTGGTGAGCCTTCACATAATCGCTGTTTGTGATCGTAATTCTAGCAAAATTAGTAGTGTTTAGTAGTAAACGCGCGCGCTATACACACACACACACACACACACACCACACACACACCACACACACACACACACACCACACACACACACAACACACACACACACACACACACACACACACACACACAACACAACACACACACACACACTAACACACAAACACACAAACACACAAACACACGCGCGCGCGCGTACGCACGCACGCACGCACACACACAGAGAGAAACTACTACTACTACTACTACTACTACTACTACTACTACTACTACTACTACTACTACTACTACTACTCCTTAGTTAATGACTACATTCTGAGATATACGTGACGATAGATACGAAAACAACTTCCCATGTGCACTGGTTCTTTGTGCGGTGATGAAACCTGCCAGCTATAGGTTGTTCATACAAGACGTGTCTAGCATCAGTTTCAATACCTCTGCCCATTTTAAGCGCGTAAGTTTAACCGAGTGTGTGTAAAGTGTAATATTGGCTGGCAACGAGACTAGCGACGCGAGCACCATTCCCTATGTACATCAGCATAGGAAAAGGATTGTGGCGGGATGCTGCGGCCAGAGTAAAATTTTCAGAACGGACTTTACTACGGAGATCTCTCCCGGGCATACCCCTACCCATTGTAAACGCGTAAAATTGACCGAAAAGTGTTGTCTTGATAACGCGTTTTGATTATACGTTAGATAGTATTGGATTTACATGAGTGCACATATTACCTGCTCTTAATGTACATCATATCGTATAGCTATGAATTAGCACTAGCAATAGTTAGATAGTAGTGGTAATAGATAGCTTCACTAATGAAGATTCGCGTAGAATAGCTAAGTCCTCATAGCATTTAAAGTGCCTTAATGTATCTATAACCGAACCGAGTCAGCCTGCGCGGACTGAGGCAATAAGGAACATGTCTATAATTAACCTATTTAGTGATGCTGCAGCTATTTAAACGAGCTGTGTATTGAAGGGAAAAAGAATAGTTGGCGACAATAGTGGCGTCAATTTTAAATAAGCCTTTGCAACAAAAAGTATTTCGCAAACGTAGAATTGATGTGAACTATTTGCAGTGAGGAACATCAGAGGTATGAGGTCTGTGGTCAGCTGTTTGGTAAACTGACTGTCGCAAGAGAACCAGAGAGAACATTGCTGCTAAGAGGCGTCAGGCAACACTCCTGGGGCATTCGCGACTGGACAACATACAACAGATACATTTCACATTGTGGATATCTGGAGGTATGATAGTTTAGCGGGTTAACTAATTAGTCAACCTTTTCTAACTAAGTAGTGACACCACCTGGCCGTTGCCACGCCTGATGTTTGATTCATAAAAGTGTATTAGCATAGTAAAGGATATAAAAGGATATATGTCTTAGTATATACTTTTAGCAATATTAAAATAACATTTCTAATTTTATACCTGTTTTACACCTTGCAGGATGAGAGTTAGTTAAGAGATACTGTAAATGAAGTTTTAATCAAACTCGCTTTTATGACTAGTTAAAAACTAATTACACGGTAATTTTTACATATCACTTTAACGGTGAAGTCGGTGATACGTATCACGGCAATCTTTCACTTTACAGGATGGAACATTTTTTTCGTTTTTGGCCGCAAGTGTTTCTTCAATTCTCTCTCAGTAAGTATATGGGCTTTAATAAGATCGTAATTAGTGTAAGGTACGTAATTATGAAAAGTTAGAATGTATAATTCTTACAGTGATTTTTAAACTGCTTGCCCACGTCATTTTGAATGATAAAGTTGGTAACCACAACACTGACGACATCATAACTGTCTAGTCTACCAGCGTGAGAATACCATGATAAACATAACGTAACTTGCACAAACTAATATTTTAATATAAAACTAATTCTTTCTTTGTCGCATTGTTTAGTATCGTCTTCGGATACGTGGTTTTGCCCTGCGGACAGAAATGTATACTGAAATCAACTGACCTACACTTATCTCTAGATGGAGAGTTTACACCGCCTTCTGACAAGTTATGCTTTAATGCAGTTACAGGTAGTGTACACACACGCCAATCACACGTAACACTGACACCAACGCACAGAGAATTTTGAAAAAATAAATAATTGCCAAATAAAAACATATTAAGTGTAAAACACCTTATAGTAATCTGTGGAACTCTCGCCCCATGCCCACCTCTGCACCCCACTTTTGTCATTACTAAGCTGAATAAAGAAATTTGCCCCCTCCAAAGAATTTTGCTCGGAGAACGGCCATGATAACCGAGACAGCGGTGCTCCTGTTGAGTCTCGACTAATGAGAAGCCAGACTCATCCCGACCGGTGCTCTAGCTTGAGATGAACCTGCATATTAGCCCCAGAAACGGTTTTTTAATTTTTACATGCTTGTTAATGTTTCTGTTTTACTGTTTGTTCGTAGAGCCCATCGAAGGAGAAAGCTCATGCCAGCGCTGATGGCAGTTCAGTTTCCTGAAATTATTACTGGCTATCCAATGCCTGTATGTTATTTACTTAATTACTACTGCGTTTGTATTTGAACACCATATGAATAAGTGTTGACAAATTTTACATTTCAATTAATTCTATTCATGTAATTGGCAAATGTATTCAGATAAAGTTATAGTATAGTAGATAGATCAGTTAAATTGTGCGTAGCTGTGTGTGTGTTCTTAGGCGCGTCTGTCCGCTCAATTCAACATTTGTTTCCTCAGTTAGAAGATGACGATGAATGCGCTGTTCCTACTACTGCAGAGCTCACGGGTATCTGGTTATATATACATACTTTAAATTATTAAAATTACTAATTATTTAAATACTATAATATATATATATTCATTTATTTATGTTATACGCATATGTACCAGGTATGTATACTACGTATATACACCCTGTGTACACCACGTGTATCATTTCTTTGTTTCAGATTCTATTCCTTCATGATCATATGAGCATTCTTGCTATTTCTCTCTATAACCTCTTCTGATTTTTATTTGTGGTAACAAGTGAAAAATAATTGTGCAAAATATCAACCTTTCCCCTAATCCGTGTGGATGTACGCAAATGATGAATATATGGATCTGCAGTCTCTCATGACGCTCAGCATTAGTCATCACGTTGTATAAACTTGTGCATTTTGTTTGCACCTACGAATAATTTATTTGCAGGTATGCCTGTTAGCCATGGGGTTGTCAGGGCCAAATGCAGGATAGTTCGAACGCTGGAGGACGCGGACACCATACAGGTAATTAGATATGACTAGTATATATTCTCTCCGCGAATTATAACACTATACCGCAGGCATGTCTTATCGTTAAATTATCTTATCGCCATAAAAACCACATAATATATTAAATAACATAATATAATAACATAAATTAACATAATAATATAATATAACGTGTGTGTGTGCGCGCATGTGCGTTTGTTTAGTTATTTATTTACTCATTTATACTCATTTACATGTAGTTGTTTATTTCATATAATAATATATAGGTTGAGAAATCGTTCTCAGATGCACGAGATATCGAGTTTGCAGTGAAAGAAGGCATGATCTACTTACTTCAAGCTCGACCAATCACGTCTCTCGATATCGAGTCTGATTTTGAACTCATGCATGAACAGGACGGCCCGTTGTTTACTGACACTGAGATGTTCACAAATGCCAACACCGGGTAAAATACGCGCATTGCAGTTATTATATCATGCCTTCCACGTCTTTACTCCACATATGTTGATAAAAGTTACACGCACTCTTCCGGATAATATGCTGCTCAGTTGCTCGATCTGCAATACACCAATAAGAATCATGCATACATATAAAGTCTAATATCTCTCTCAATTTTACACATTCTAAAAATGATCGTGCTAAACACTGTGTATTTGAGTTGATTGATATCGTTTCTTTATTATTGATTGATTACAGACAATTAATTCTGCTTCGTCTCAGTAACTATACCCTAGCTGTCACCATAATTCGATGATGACCACCATTTTTCAACTCCCATAAATGACTTTATTTTGTGCATTTTACCTGCAGAGAAATGATGCCGCAGGCTATGACACCGCTCACCTGCGATGTATTTGTTTCCGGTGCTGCAGGTATGCAGCAGGTATGAAACACTAACTAGTAGAACATATCATTTTGTTTCTTTAATTCATCACTTAATTGTTGTATAGTTATTTTTCATTATTTATTATTTTGTAAAAACGTTATGATATATTTACCTTTATCTGTGTTATTATATTAGATTCATCATGATTATCTAAGTCATGAGTCTAGAGATCGGCGTGGCATTATGTGAGACAAATGATAATAGGGGGCCTATAGAAAAAGTTCCAGGTAACTTCAGTGCTTTAACGCGATCACTCTATACGTTAAAATTATATTGTTAATGTTACACCTGTTAAATTTCGTGTAAATTCGTTTTGTCTATATCGTCTTGCAAGGTAATGGGAGCTGAATTTCTAGGCAGCAATGCCATCCAAAACGCCTACGTAGAAGCGGGTTCAACAACATTTTGTAAACACTTCTTCTTAAATATGTACATAGTAAGTATGGCTTTAGCTATTCAAAACGGAAAAATTACTTATCACAATTGTAATACCCAACACGTATTAGTCAGCAATTGTCGGTAACTATGAGCCGTTTGAATTGAAACAGTCTAACGTAACTAGTTTTCTACTGCTGCTAGCGAAAAGCTCCATATAAACAAATTCGTGCATTTTAGTTTAACACAAATGAACGCAACGTTAGTGTAACATAAATGTCTTAAATTGTTCTTGCTTGCAAATAGAACAGTGTGCAAGACTAACTTTTGGTGGTTAGAAGAATCATTAGCACACGGCAATGTAGTATAACGCCCTTCCGACATTGTAGAAAGACTTGCCAGACTACGACAATATACATAATTAGTCAGCAGTCAACATCAACTCAAATATTATCCTTTACAGACTTTGTATTTCGCAAATGAATACACATCATTACTGAACACGAAAGACCAAAAGGAAGGGTTTGAGATCATGATGTTTGGCAAACCACTGGGAAACGAAATTTTGGACAGGATCCATGCGCGTTACAGAAACATCCGTGTCTCGTTGTACCGCAAAATCCGAGGACTTCTACAGCTGGTCATCGTAAGCACATAATCAACTAGACAGAGGGCACTCAAAGAGAGTGCATACCTCCGCGAGCGTGTAACATGTATACATGTGTATAACAGCTGACTCGCTGCTGGCTGCTGCTGACTGCACGCCCTAAGGTGAGCTGCTGCTGACTGGACTCCCTAAGGCGAGCTGGTGCTGAATCGATCGCGCCAACGCGTGTAACATGTATACATGTGTATAACAGCTGGCTCGCTGCTGGCTACACACACACACGAACACACACACACGAACACACACACGAACACACACACGAGAGCGATTCCTGCAACTCCGTTGCGCGGAGGTAACTACTATATCCAGTGCAGTGGACACCGATAAGTACGAGAACATAACTAACCGCCCGGTTATGCTAGATCGTAGCTTCGCTCTCCGGCCGTTGCCTTGTTTTTTAACAGCTGAACAGGTACCGTGTTTCGTAATAAACAATCGGAATAGCGGCGATTAGAATAACAACGCTTGAATGCGCAGTCCATTATTTCTTCCTTATAGTCTGCGCTTAGAGGAAAGCACCGCATACAGCAAGGTAAAAGCTTAGTCAAGACGGCAAACACTGACTTCAGTACCACTGACACACGCATGCTATATCAACAAATTGAGAAACTTCGCAAGGCGAGTGGTGAGGTATGTAATGGTTATCCAGTGCCATTTTGTATATATACAACGTGCAGAATGCGAATTTCAAATGAAATCCCATAGATATAGAATTGATATTCTATTCTATGTCTATAAAAATCCTTATCGCTTCCAAGTTGAACCATGTTTAAAGCTGTTTTTTGTTTGGTGCGCATAATACCTAGCATATAAACGGCAAGAACCAGTATTCCTTCAAATCATGTAATTCCTGGACGCAACAACATAGGCTTAGCCAATTCAAAAAAGGAAAAACGTCATATCTATAATGATAATCAAATATGTGCATGTTTTTGCGAAATGTCATGATGTTTGAAGATGCCTGGATCCGGAAGATTTGTCACAGGAAAATCGGTCACACAGAATATTGGGCACATGAAAGTTAGTCACAAATAGTAAACTTCGGTTTGCTACCAAAAAGGTGAAAGAGTAAAGAGCAGAGGAGGAGGAGCACAAGAAGCGGAAGAGGAAGGAAAGACGAGAAAGAAAAGAATGTGGTTAATTGAGGTGGATGGGGCATAAGAGAAGAACGAGGAAGAAAGCGGAGGAGGGAAAAGGTGGAGAAGTAAAGAGGTGCGAAAGTATACAGGGGGAGAGGGAGTGGGTTGAGAACAAGCAGCTAAATGTTATTAAATGACGGTAATAAAGGAGAAGAGTGGATGAGAAAGGATAGGGTGGCAATGGAGGGGGGAGGAGGAGCGAGGAGGTGGAAGGAATGAGAGAAGGTGGAGAGACGGAGGAAGGAGGTACATGATGAGGAGGGATAGGAGAAAGGGAGAGAGAAGAAAAGATAATAACGCAGTACTAAGCAGAGATTTACTATTCGTGACCAATATCCCTGTGACCGATTTTCCAGTAACATATTTTCCTGTGAGCAGATTTCCTACGTCCGGTTATACTTAGGGTTAATGGAAAGGAATCGTTCCAATAAACACTCATTTCAGCAAGCGTGATCTGTCCTAACCTATTTGATTGCTTTTAATGGATTGCTTTTTATAGGAAGTTATTCAGTCGCGTACTGTCTGATGAAACATAATGCAGGCATTCATGAGAAATGACACTGCACAATTGTCAATAACTAATTTAACACACAAACACAACTATACTTAATCTAATCAAATGTTATTTCTCATTATAATTTAGTGCTGGTACTGCCACACGCAAGTTTCATTGGCATCTTCAACATTCAGTGGTTTAATAAAAATCATTTTGGACACTGGCCGAGAAGAAGGTAATTAATACTAAAAATTCTCTAACAACCCTTTGCATAAAGGGTTTTAAAAACTTGTCTGTATGGTTGAACAGCGGCTGGAAACAAGCGTCACACTCTGAATGCGTTTTGTGGGAATACAGAACACGTCGCAAAAGTAAAAGTTGTAGTGTCAACTTTGTAAAACGGGGGTACTTGTACCCTGTGACTCCTATTTAAATGTGGTGCCACAAAATCTAGTGATCGATTGTTAAGAACAGCGCTAGGGTATTCCCGTGTCAGGTAGAATTCACGAATCACTATAAACTACTGTATTTTGTGGCGCACATACTGCAGTCTTCCGCCTCAAATCTCTCCCAAAACCACCTTGCTTTCTATAGGCTAAATGTCAATGTGGCATATGGCGTGCTTCTACTTCCTTTTTCTTCTTGTTTTCTTCTTTTTCTTTTTCCGCTTCTTCTTCTCTTCCTTCTTCTTCTTCTTCTTTTACTGCTATGTTTTGTTAATAATTTAATGCACTATATTATTCACCTCGGCAGGCAGAATAGCATACAGTATTTATTGACTAATGCTGACAGTGATGAGAGCTTACTAAATACAGGAAATTTGAGGGGTAAACAGAAAATACAAGGGCGCGGCCTTAATTATGCTGATTATAACCCTGGTGGAAGAGATGGCTATATTAAACATTAAAGCTTTTTTGGAATATTACTTTCTAAATTCTGGATGTGTCTAATGTATTGAAGCTTCTCATAGGGCCTATAAGAAGCTTTTATGCTTAGACACGCCCCAAATTTAGAAGGTAATATTGCCTGTGGCCTTATTAGAAGCTTTATTAGCCTTTATAGCCTCATTAGAAAGTAATATGGCCTATAATAATGGCCATGAAATACGGCACTGTAAATGTAATTTCAGATCACGCCATCGTAATGTCTGAAGTTGCCAACCTTCTATCAACCTGCCCAGACGTATTGAGTGCTGACGTACCACATGCTCTCAGGAAAATCGCGCTAACGGTGATTGACAGCGGTAAAGCCGAGTTCTTTCAGTCATTGTCGGCAAAGGAGGCAGCCCAGTGGCTACAGACAGATGACAGCGGAGAGCTGAAGAATGAGTTTGCAAGATTTATAGAGACGCATGGACACAGATGCGTGCGCGAGGTAACCGTCTATTACCGACGTATTCGTCTACCGATACATTCTGTCCTAATAAGTTTCTGCGATGCTCTCTACTGGAATCATGCATACTATAGCAATTTGAGTATTTCCATATTTGTGTGGGCATCATTATTTTGTATTTTTAAATAGTCTGAACTATGGGAAAAACCTTGGAGAATGGAGCCAAAAAAGGTTGTCAAAACAATACAGGTAAATTAGAAATTCCATGCGTTAAACATAATTGTGTTTGTAATCAGTATAACAGGCAAATAATGTTATGTATATCTAGTCTGTTTAATATAGTTATTATTGGTTAATCTAATATAGTTTATGTATCAGAATTTGTATAGAATATAATTAACATAACTGAAGCATTCTCATTACAAAAGTAAGTTGTTTTGATATTTTACCTTATAAATGAAACCAAGGCTATGACAAAATCACCAGACGAAATGAGGAATCAAAAAAGGCACATGACTGAGGATGAAACAATTGCGAGCATTAAGGTTCCGGTTACCGCTATCAAAAAGTACGTAATATAAATAGTATAAAATAAAATATATAAATAATAATAAAATAGATAAATTGAATTTATCTGTCATAGCTCAGATCTGTAATGTATTGTCGCTGTATAAAATTTACAATTAAATTCGTAAATTTTCAACATCTGGTACAACACAATAGCATAAACAAGGAACTTATGCTTACTATAGAAAAATGTTGCGATACATCTTGCCAATTGCAAGAACAGCGGTCGGTCAGAGAGAAAATGGTAAAGGCATCGCAATCAAATTAATGGACTTCTTGCGACAAGGATACATTCGACTGGCTGAGCTGCTCGTACACGAGGCAAGTTTTTGTTGCTACGAGTTTTATGACTGTCGTTTTATATGTGCTATATAACTATAGTATTATATATATAATATATATATATAACTGTATTTTATATATATATATATATATACCATTAAATATATAATTGCTCAATATTATTATTGCGTTTTCACTTAATTTTCGAACAAGAAAAATTCAATAATAATTAAACAACTGAATCAATTTTAAAGGCCTGATAAGGGATTTCATATTCTAGTTTTCATGAATGTTTAATACCATTGATACCGATTTATTTGATATTATATCAGGTAAGCAATAGCGCGTTAGTTATTACAATATAGTGATAATTTTTATTTAACATGTTGTACTAGTTGCATACTGTACTTTAAATTAATCAGGGTCGTCTACCCGAAGAAGAGTTGATCTTCTTTTTGCGACATAATGAAATCGGCAAACTGATCAAGACCAGGTCGGCTAGACTCATCAACAAGTTAGTGCTGTTTGCGTTTGGATCAGACGTTTATTCAATTTTGTTTCCCAGTCATGTTAAATGCATATACTTCCATAGATATATATAATGCAAGCTATTTTACATTCGTTTTAGTGTAGCATGAATATTATTGCAAATAATTATAATATATATTTAACAATTGTTATTTATAATAATTGTAAAGTAATTTAAATTTTTTATGATAACATAGTAAATTGATACAAAAAATGTAATACATTAACATAATAGTGTAGTTTTGTTTAGTGTATTGTAGTGTAGTGTAGTGTAGTGTAGTGTAGTGTAGTGTAGTGTAGTGTAGTGTAGTGTAGTGTAGTGTATTGTAGTGTAGTGTAGTGTAGTGTAGTGTAGTGTAGTGTAGTGTAGTGTAGTGTAGTGTAGTGTAGTGTAGTGTAGTGTAGTGTAGTGTAGTGTAGTGTAGTGTAGTGTAGTGTAGTATAGTGTAGTGTAGTGTAGTGTAGTGTAGTGTAGTGTAGTGTAGTGTAGTGTAGTGTAGTGTAGTGTAGTGTAGTGTAGTGTAGTGTAGTGTAGTGTAGTCGTGTGTTAGGTGTAGTTGTAGTGTAGTGTCTTAATGTATAAGTGTGTAGTGTAGTGTAGTTGTAGTGTAGTTGTGTAGTGTAGTGTAGTGTAGTGTACGTGTAGTGTAGTGAGTGTAGTGTAGTGTATGTAGTGTAGTGTAGTGTGAGTGTAGTGTAGTGTAGTGTAGTGTAGTTAAGTTTAGTGTGGTAGTGTAGTGTAGTGTAGTGTTGGTGTAGTGTAGTGCTAGTGTTATGTAGTGTAGTGTAGTGTAGGTGTGGTGTAGGGCTAGTGTAGTGTAGTGTAGTGTAGTGTAGTGTAGTGTATGTGTAGTGTAGTGAGTGTAGTGTAGTGTGTGAGTGTGTGTAGTGTGTAGTGTAGGTGTAAGTGTGTGTGGTGTGGGGTAGTGGTAGTGCTAGTGTTTAGTGTGTGTATTATGTAGTGTAGTGTAGTGTAGTGTAGTGTAGTGTAGTGTAGTGTATGTAGGTGTAGTGTAGTGTAGTGTAGGTAGTGAGTGTAGTGTTAGTTTAGTGTCAGTGTAGTGATGTGTAAGTGTAGTTTAGTGTAGTGTAGTGTAGTGTATGTGTAAGTGTAGTGTAGTGTAGTGTAGTGTAGTGTAAGTTGTGTAGTGTAGTGTAGTGTAGGTGTAGTGTAGTGTAGTGTAGTGTAGTGTAGTGTAGTGTAGTGTGTAGTGTAGTGTAGTTGTAGTGTAGTGTAGTGTAGTGTAGTGTAGTGTAGTGTAGCGTAGCGTAGCGTAGCGTAGTGTAGTGTAGTGTAGTGTGGTGTACACACACGCCAATCACACGTAACACTGACACCAACGCACATAGAATTTGAAAAAATAAATAATTGCCAAATAAAAACATATTAAGTGTAAAACACCTTATAGTAATCTGTGGAACTCTCGCCCCATGCCCACCTCTGCACCCCACTTTTGTCATTACTAAGCTGAATAAAGAAATTTGCCCCCTCCAAAGAATTTGCTCGGAGAACGGCCATGATAACTACGAGGACAGCCGGTGCTCTGTTGAGTCTCGACTAATGAGAGAGCCGACTCATCCCGACCGGTGCTCTAGCTTGAGATGAACCTGCATATTACCCCAGAAACCGGTTTTTTAATTTTTACATGCTTGTAATGTTTCTGATTTACTGTTTGTTCGTAGAGCCCATCGAAGGAGAAAGCTCATGCCAGCGCTGATGGCCAGTTCAGTTTCCTGAAATTATTACTGGCTATCCAATGCCTGTATGTTATTTACTTAATTACTACTGCGTTTGTATCTTGAACCACATTGAATAAGTGTTGACAAATTTTTACATTTCAATTAATTCTATTCATGTAATTGGCAAATGTATTCAGATAAGTTATAGTATAGTAGATAGATCAGTTAAATTGTGCGTAGCTGTGTGTGTGTTCTTAGGCGCGTCTGTCCGCCTCAATTCAACATTTGTTCTCCTCAGTTAGAGAGATGACGATGAATGCGCTGTCTCGACTACTGCCAGAGCTCACGCGGTATCTGGTTATATATACATACTTTAAATTATTAAAATTACTAATTATTTAAATCTATAATATATATATTCAGTTTATTTATGTTATACGCATATGTACCAGGTATGTATACTACGTATATACACCGCTGTGTACCACCACGTGTATTCATTTTCTTTGTTCAGATTCTATTCCTTCATGATCATATGAGGCCATTCTTGCTATTGTCTCTCTTAACCTCTTCTGATTTTTATTTGTGGTAACAAGTGAAAAAATATTGTGCAAATATCAACCTTTCCCTATCGCGGTGGATGTACGCAAATGATGAATATATGGATCTGCAGTCTCTCATGACGCTCAGCATTAGTCATCACGTTGTATAAACTTGTGCATTTTGTTTGCACCTACGAATAATTTATTTGCAGGTATGCCTCGTTAGCCATGGGGTTGTCAGGGCCAAATGCAGGATAGTTGAACACTAGAGGACGCGGACACCATACAGGTAATTAGATATGACTAGTATATATTCTCTCCGCGAATTATAACACTATACGCAGGCATGTCTTATCGTTAAATTATCTTATCGCCATAAAAACCCGACATAATATATTAAATAACATAATATAATAACATAAATTAAATCATAATAATATAATATAGGATATAAACTAGAGGCCAGTGCGGGAGAGTCGCCAGCACCTCGCGCAGGCAGCTCAATTCCGTTAAATTTTTTATTAATTAACTGAAGTTGACTCTAGATAATGTGAGTTGGGAGGCTCCGGGTCAGACCACCAAAATCTAATCAATTCTAAGTTAGCCCATTTCTGACCTATCCTGAAAATTTAATTAATTTATTAATTGGATCCGGATCACCACCAAAATGTAAATAATTCTATGTTACCCCATTTCTGACATATCCTGAAAATTTCAGTAATTAATTAATCAATTAATTAATTAATTGGATTCGGATCACCACCAAAATCTAATCAATTCTAAGTTAGCCCATTTCTGACCTATCCTGAAAATTTTATGACAATCCGTCCATAACTTTTTTAGTTAGGCAGTACACAAACAAACAAACGCACAAACCCACAAACCAACAAACGCCGGTGAAAACATAACCTCCTGCCAACCCCTTGGCGAAGGTAATATTATAATAATATAACATAATATAAGGAGCATTTCCGATTTGGATGAAATATTTGTCACGCTATGCCGTGAGGTTCGCGCGCATTAGAGACAGCGAACATCGATGTTGCTATCGATCTATTCACTTTTTTGTCTTTTTGAGATATTTTGTCTCTCGAACTAGTGTACTCGAGTGATAATCTCATTGCGATGATCGCAGGATCATCCGTCGGACGTTTGCTATCCACTGCCTGTTTGATTTTATAGCAAGGAGAGATATTAATAGTGCCGTACACGGACATCGGTTGGTCACCTTACTTTCCTCTGGTGTCCGGTCTGTGCACAGAGAAGGGAGGTCTTCTATCACACGGTAGGAGACAATGTCCGGCTATTTTACACATACTACTATTTGACTATATCTGTGTATGTAAGTGCTAATATAATAGAAGTTTTCCTATAAGTTATGCAACAGTAGTGTAGTATATAAGGAATTACTTGTACTGTAACGCTGAATTAAGAGTTCATGTAGAAATGATGAAGTAGAAATCCAAACTTGTGTCTTGAACCGCATAAACTTTAATATCTGCTCACGTCACATCTCATTGCACACAGAGACAAAACAACGCGCACACGCGCGTTAGCGCGTGCGCTTTCTCCCGCGACCACAACCACCTCCTCCACTCTTCCATCTCTCTACCCCCTCAATCTCTCCTAACTTCCTATATATTACCCCCAAAACCCCTACATCCTGAGCGCACATGTCACCCGTTCTCCCAGACCGCGTCCTTTCCAGACCCCTATTTCACAATGACCATAGAAACGCTCGACCTAAAACACGTTTACCATTCTCCCTATAACATCAATCTAGCCGCACAAGATGCGCGACGCTCTGTCTACATAGACTACCACTAAAACGAGTCCTAGTCTAGCTCCGTTGACTAATTTATGCAACATTTGTAAAACATATGTTACAGTACTTTAGAGATTATACTATCAATGTTTTTTGTATTTGTTAGGTGCTGTGATAGCAAGAGAATATGGACTGCCGTGCATTGTCTCTGCGAAGAAAGCGACGCATGTCTTCAAAACAGGTAGTTCTACTATTTACTTGCAATATTAATTAGAATTTAATTAAAGTTATAATACATTGTTGAATAATAGTGATGCTGGGCACAAGATGATGTTCTCATGAAAATGTGTGCGCCTTTGTAAAGTGAACATTCTGCTTGATTGTGATAATGAATAACCCTTGAATGTTCTATTACAACAAATGTAATTTGTCAATAGAAAGTAGTTAGTAAAAAATTCCCGTTTCCGTTGCTCTGAGAAACGATACGTCATAAAATGCACATTTATTACAACTAGTTTCGTGTATTATCAATCGTCTAATTTGATTAAAAGGTTCGGTAATTACCGAGATTATGTTAAATGTATGTGGTTACGTTCTCATAGGTGAGGTGGTGATTCTGAATGGAACCCTGGGCACAATCGCAAAGATCACTCAGCCAACCAGCAACGAGCCATAGGAACAAAAAGAATGCCAGTATAACAGTTCATGTACAATGCCAAATCTATTACGACGTTGAATACAATTATACGTTGAATACTTGATGCTTTAAATACATAAAAACGCGAATGAAATGTATAGGCCATGTAGGTCTAATTAAACAAATAAATACGATAATAATTAAATCGTGTATACTAATTCAATAAGAAGCAGTTTCCTTACGTTTCGACTTCCATGACTGATGGTTCGTGGACTGTGAACTCAATAATTGTACTATTCATTTATTTCTTTGATGCCTCTGGGGTTAATGGGCTCTTGATAATAATAATCACTGTACCAACTCAGCCTCCTATAAAGGTAAAGACAGCAGGCCAAGATATAGACACGCCTGCTTTTTTCACTATATCTACGGGGTATAAAGTGTTGTTTAACAGATTCTCTCAAACGTCGGTATGGTTTTACAGCGCTATAATTATGTCATTGACGCTGAATGCCAAATTAATCGAACGTAACATGCAACATTGATATTCGTATGATTCTCTATCCTATCGCACATACTACAGAAACACTTTATGAGCACCTTCAACTTCCCTGATATCTAAATCGGGAATAACGCGTTACACGGCAACATTGCATGCATGATCTACATAGACTTGCATCAATCGAAAAACACTGATACAAATATGAAGTGTACAGCTAATATAAACGCTGTAAGCGGAGCCTCCACCATGGACCGTACGATGAGCATATGAACTGTAGTTTGTAGTTAGTGATACATGGTTTATGTGCTCTTGACCTTACTACGTACTGGTACGGAAGTGCTTGCGGGAATCACGGAAGCTGTACGGGATTTACATGCACACATGCTCTAATCAGCTTTAAGATTGTTATAATCATATGTATAGTATTGCTGTGAGACGGCCATTTGGAAGATAGGTCCGCGCCATTTTATTGTGTCTGTACCTAACATGTTTTACCGTCGTTAAATAAAGTTTTTACTTACTATAGTGTACTATTGCAACCACAGTGGCGAATCCAGTATTTCAAGGAGGGGTGAAAAAAGGCGGGGGGCATGAGGGTCCTCCCCCAGAAAATGTTGAAAATGTAGATCGCAGGAGATGGTATTTGAGGTACTTTTGAGTACATGTACAGCCTTCATTCTGACTACGGCAATTCTCTTTTTAGTAGAACAATTCTTGCGCTTACAGCTCGGCATTGATTGCTGTACAGGGGGGGGGGGTGACCACCGATGGGATGAGGGTGACAGCAAAACTATTTCTTGGAACTGTGAAAAAAACTGCAAAACGGTTGTAACCGGCTTTGCCACTCAATTATATGTCACCCATGGATCAGGTGCTGTTTTGTACAGCCGCGCGACTATTATACTTGGAAATAATTAATCGGTATATGTGTAAAAATCATGTTAGTCCAACAGAGGGGGTACGTGACTAGACACCCAATCACCCCCTCCCCCTGGATATCCGGCACTGAACCAACCACCATTATATGAAAGCGACGCCTAAAATCATATCAGGATATTCAGGGATATGCAGCCTTATTTATTATTGGCGTGTAATAATTGGAAATTTTGCAATTACACTGTATTCGTTTTTCCACACATTATTTTTGTTTCGATCCCTGACTCGGAAAAACGCAAAACCATCGCCAATTATGAACAACGAATTTCAGTTAGATGTAGGCCTATATCGTCTATACGCGCTCACACGCCCGCGCGCGCGCGCGCACACACACACACACACACACACACACACACACACACACACACACACACACACACACACCATCCATCCATCCATCCATCCATCCATCCATCCATCCATCCATCCATCCATCCATCCATCCATCCATCCATCCATCCATCCATCCATCCATTCCTCCATCCATCCATCCATCCATGTTTTATGCTGACGTGACGTTTAAATTATTCCTACAGGTCACCTTGAGTGTGCTTTTTCGGTCGAGAAACAGCAAGAGCAGATTGTCTACTCAGGAGAAAGGTGGAGTGTTAAGATTCACGAACAATTCACGGACGTAACGATGAATGGAGTCAGCGGCCGGGGTTTCAGTGAGTACATGTACAGGTACGGTATTTTCTTATCATGTTGCCATTCACTGGGACTATACTGTGGTATAAAATGTCAGCGAACATAGTATTTATCCTATATATGTAAAAATTGCATCACGTCAACAATTGTTAGTCTTCCGATGTGATCATGTCTGGATTTAGGACTTTATATACGCAAATGTTCACATCACGTCAACTACTGGTAGTCCTCCGATGTTATCATGTCTGGTAGTAGGACTCTATATACGCAAATGTTCCCATTCCGTCAACTACTGTTTGTCCTCCGATGTTATCATGTCTAGTGGTGTGGTGTGGCGTGGCGTGGTGTGTGCTTGACGTGGCGTGGCGTGATGCGGTTCTGTGCAGTGATGTATATAGTGATGTGGTTACGCGGTGTAGATTATAATATAATGGTGTGTTGTTGTATGGTGTAGCATAGCGCTGTGGTGCGGCGCGGTACAGTGTTGTGTGCGGTGCGGTGTGGCGCACGTGTAGTATAGAGTGGGTCGTCGCGTAGCATTAGGGTCTGCAATCTTATCTTATAAGTCAAAGTTTATCTGATATTTACCCTTGTTAATTTAGTATATACGTAACATGCTGTGAAATAATAACCATAGAATAGATGGTGTCAATCACTGACACTTAATGTTTCATTGTTTTATTGCAGGGCCAATCGAAGAAGAAAACTCATGCCCACGCTAATGGCAATGCAGTTCCCTGAAATCATGACTGGCTATCCAACGCCGGTGCGTTCCCTATTTTTACATAATCTATATTTTGTGAACCATATAAATAATTGTTCGCAAAGTTTATATTAAATATTTATTTATTTTACTCATTTGAATAAACAAAACAAAGCACAAAAGGTTTTCCTCTTTTTGCTGCACCTACTTGTACGCACGCCCGCGCGTACACACTCGCGCGCATGCTCGCACTTACGCGTACCTGCGCGCATGTGTCTGTATGTCACCGCACGTGTCTCTATCTATGTGCGTGCCTGCATACGTGGGTGTTTGCTTGGGTGCGTAAATAAACATGTATTGTTTCTCTATACATTAGATTGAAGACGATGAGAAAAATGATGTTCCCACAACGTCAGAGCTAACCGGTATCTTTGTTTAATATACTTATGCGTATACATACATATTTATCAGGAGTACATAATAGGAGGACATATATATATCAGGAGTACATAATCCCTATTATGTACTCCTGATATAATGGAGCCAGTGGCTTGTGTAGAACCAGCCCGTACGTTGTCTTGCCAACGTGACGTCACACTNCGACGCTACGTTGAGGAGGTAGTGAAGGCAGCGATCAAGGTGCGCGGGGAAGAGTGAGGGAGGGAGGAAGGGAGAGAGGAAAGGAGGGAGTGAGGGAGAGAGGGAAGGAGGTGCTACACGGCCCGCACGGCGATGACGGGCGCGGGACTGTGGCGCCGCTATGTGGAGGAGGTTGTGAAGGCAGTGATTAAGGTGCCCAGGGAGGAGGGAGGGAGGGAGGATAGGGGCTACACGGCCTGCACGGCGATGACGGGCGGGGGACTGTCGCACCGCTACGTAGAGAAGGTCGTGAAGGCAGCGATTAAAGTGTGCAGGGAGGAGGGAGGGAGGGAGGAACGGAGGGAGGGAAGGAGGCAGGGAGGGAAAAGGGAGGGAGGGAGGGAAGCAGGGAGG